TAGATTTTGGCCGCCAAAGGGGCTTGAGGGTCCCCTGCCAAAATGCCATTCTGTGTCCAAACCTGATTTGAGGCCTCACCTTCTGCTTCAAGGATGCGTCCCCCCAGGTAAAGCTGCATGGCCAGTGCTGCATGAGTCTTGGGGTAGTCCGAGTCCAGCCACCTGGTGCAGAGCTTCTGCAGGCTGATCCGGTCGTAGAAGTTGGACATGTCCAGGAGGACCGATACCACTGTTTTCTTCATGGCATTGTGGTGCTCCGTGAGGAATGCTCTCTTTAGGGCAACCTGTAGGCACTCAGTGCCCGGCCCTGCCCTTTCCCAATGATATTCAGCCAGAATGGTGGTTTGCCACTGCTTGGTGAAGGATGGTCGAAGACGACACCAAAGCCGATACAGGGTGGCTACCAATGCTATGGGTCTTTCAATCTCTGCTGATTTGGGCAGAAGGGCAATGAGGGATGTAGCCCATTGCTGTGGCAGAACAGCTTGCGCCTCGATCTCATGGAAAATCTGGACAAGATCCTGCATTGCCTGATACGGAAGGGCCTTGAGGTAGTCGAAGCTGAGGCCATCAAGTCCCCGTGCTTTGAGGCTAAGGTGCTTGATCGTGGTCCAGACCTGCTTCGGGTGCAAAGGCGGCATGTTCCTGCCTTGTTCTGCTCCTTGCTTGATCAACTCTTCAAGTTCGGGAAGCTGTTGAGGTGAATCTTGGATGCCCCAGATGTTGCCCCATTGCTGCTTTCTGCATTCCATCCGCTCTTGGCGGGGCTTGTCTTGGAAAGGCCGAAGGTAGGGCAGTTCATCTCTTTTTAAGGATCTGTAGAGCCCCCGGCAGCCTTTCTGGGAAGCCTTGACCATCCATTCTCTGTAGGCTTGAGTTTCTTGGTCAATGGCCTGTTGTTGATGTAGTTCTCTCACTTGCTGAGTGTATTGCAGGAGCACCCGTACATGGTCTTCATCTTGCTGTCCCCAGAGCATCTGGTAGAGGAGCTGGAAACCTTCCAAGGTGATGGCGCATTCATCATGCCAGTGGTCTTGTAGATGCCATCCCAAGCGCTGAAGGTGTTGAAGGGGAGGATCAATCCTGTGATGCTGAAGCAGTTGTTGAAGCCGTACCTCAACTTGACCCCAGAAAGCCAGGCTGCCCCTCTTCCAGATCCACTGTTTGCTCGGATCTTGCAAAGGCTTTTTAAGCAACTGAAGCTGAGTGCCCCTCCCATAAGTGGGCTTGTCTAGCCCTTGCAGCACATAGCGCTCGATTTTGTGATACAAGGCACCGAGTTTCTGTGTCATTGGTGTTGGCTTTGTCTCCATCCATTGGACAGGTACATCACGATATTCCAGTTGGTGCCACTCCAAAACCGGATTGGTGAGTTTGGGCGCTGGACTGAATTTTTGGATCTGTTGAACCACCGGTGCTGCAAGGTCATTCATCCAATGAAAAAGCAATTGTGCATGGGGCTTGAAAGGCACTTCCCATCCCGTCTTGACCGTCAAGTCAGCAATGAGGGAGGTGGAAACCAAAGCCCAGTCGAGCTCGTTGCCACTGTGACAGGTGGCTTCACCTGTGGCCAACACTTGCACCTGCATGATGGTGCCCATAGTGGTTGTCATGAACTCTTCAGGTGTGACGTTGAAATCACCACAAATGATGACCGGCTTTACCACACTGGTGACAAAGGAGAGCAAGCCCGCCCACAGCTGAGCATTTGTGTGCCCTTGAATGCCCTCGCCTGTGCGGAAATAGGCCATGACCAGGAGGACTTCTGCATCAGCAAAGGTCCATTGCACTGCATACCACCCACAGCCTTCAATGAGCTGCTTGTGCGCATAGTGGAAGTGCATGTGGGCCGGAAAGACCAGCATGTGACCCCCGTGTGTGCCTCCTTTGCTGCTTTCTGCTGCTGGGTGACCAAGGACCCCAAACCCCCTGGCAGTCAGCCACTGTTGTACCTTCTGATAGTCCTCAGTTGCCAGGTGAGTTTCCACCATGAGGATAGGGGCTCGTGGCCTCGTGAGCAGCCATTGTCGAACTGGTTGCCCCAGGTTGGTGACGTTAGCAAAGGCAAAACTGACGCCGTTGAGGCATCTCCTTTTTGCTGGTTGTTCAACTTCTGCAATCGTTGCTCCACTAGGGAATTCACATCGAACATCAGGTGGAAGGAGCTCAGTGGAAGGCAGGGCCCAGACTTGGACGATTTGTCGCTTGATGCCCTCATTGATGTCCGGCAAAGGTCTTGGGAAAGAGGTGTCATCGACCAGCCAGTAGACCCCTCTGTACACAAAGATGGCAAAATAGTGACCATTCTGGTGCTGATTGCCAGAGTGGCAAAGGAGCCCAACCAAAGGAGCCCAACCATTCTGGTGCTGTCTTTGTTTCATTGCCATCCAGCGTGTATGGAAGGTTGAAGATCGTTGGGACATTGAGGATCTGATGGTGCTTTGTCCACTCACCTTCAATCAAATCATAGCGTCCAATTTGTCCCACCCAGAGGCCTCTACCATCTGCCACTTGTCCTTCTCCCTGATTGGCCCACTGAGCTATCAGTTGTTCAAGTTCTTGTTCCGGTTGGTCCCCTGGGGAGATCAAATGAATAGGGAATGACTTTCTCTTGTGCACCTGCTGTCGATGGTCTACATGATAGTAGCCCGGGATGATGCGAGCTGATTCAGCCAAATCTGCTAGGGCCATCAGGAAATGAGATGCATCATCTTGGATCTGATCATCAAACTGCTGCCAAAGCGGCCTCAGTGGCATGGACTGCGGCTCCAGTTTTGTTCCAGAGCTGCGGTCCGCCCAAAAAGCTGCCCGCCCAGGACCAAAGTCTGAAAGGGGCATTGGCAAAGCGCCGGTTACGGTAGTTTCCGGTGCGGCACTGGAGGTTCTGGATCACGTAGTCCAGAGGTGATTTTGTAGCCATAGTCGGAATGACCACTGGCTGAGAGTCTTCTACTTCATGAGCAGGTTCCATGGTGTCTTCCAAGGGTCGCTCCCCCACAAAATCTTGGGACAGCCGTGAGCTGTTCCATCATAGCCAGTTCGACATGAACCGGCGCCCCAAAAGCACAGGTGCTGTTGTCCTGTGATGAACCCTGCTGCTCTGAGCCTCTATGCACATGCCCGGCCATAGACCAAAGATCATCATGTTCCCCTAGATGAGCTGTCCATGTCTGACATGTGTCAACCCCTGCTGCCATCTCGGTCTCAATCGGGTTACCCACACTTTCGTCTTTTTGCGGCAGTCTCCTCGAGCTGTCGTGCAAAATCAGTGACCTGTTCAGCGGTGGCCTGTAGGCCAACTTTGGCCAAAATGGTCACCAGTTTCTCTGGGGCTAGTGTGAAATCTTGATCTGCATCAACTGCTTCGTTCTTCTCCTTCTCAAGCTGCTGGTTGTACTTAGTGGTTGTCTCTTGCAGTTCTTTCTGAGCCTGTTCGATCTTGTTCTGCATGTCTTTGAGCTCTTGGAGTAGTGCCGTGTATTGGGCCTTGACTGCATCTGCCTTTTGCTGAAGCACTGCTTTCTTTTCTGCCAACTGCTTGAGGTTTCCCACAGACTGCTTGAGCTTGGTGGCCAGAGTAGGTTCTGGCTTGTCCGGCTCAACCAGCTTCTCGACGGCCTCCTTGAGGTCACTTGGCAAGCTCTGCAAATGCTCCTTAATCAAGGTCGGTAGATCCGCCGGTGCTGGTGGAGCACTTGCCTGAAGTCCCATGGCTTCACACTGGGTTTTGAGAGCCTGTGGAAGGGTGTCCCAGTGTTCCTGAACTGCTTTCTGAAGGCCGGACTGCTTGACTTTGGTCTTCTTGGAACGACCGCCTCCTGTGAGCCCAGGCGGAGGTTCCATGAAGGCCTGCTTGTAGGTCCGGGTTGGCCATTGATGGCCTGTGTTGTGGAAATTCCATTTTGCCCACTGCGTAGTTCTGCGGTGGCTCTTCAAGTCAGCTAGGCTGCGTTCTTGCCAGGGATGTCCACACTGTTTGCATGTCAGTCCTGGTTGTGCTATCACGCGTGTCTGCCATATCCAGGTTTGATGACATGATTTGCAAACCAAGTAGGCCGGCTTCATGAGGATGTTCTCGTTCGTGGTCTCTAGGTTCTGCCTCTCCCCCAAGCACCACTATGGCGCGCGACGGATCCGGCAGCTGGATTTGTATTGGACCAGCTTGAGAACCTGAGATGGCTTGAGCCACACACAGATATGTATATATACTCTCTATATATATGTACATACTAGCCTGTAAGCTTAGCATATCCAAAGACAGGTTTCCAACATCTCAGATACTCCAGACACAGTGACATCCATTGCGCTAGCCTAAAGATGCCCAAAGGTGGCCCGAGACACGATATTCAATAAAGTAAATGTTAAATTAGTTATTAATGCATAATAATTAAGTAATTAAGTTACAGTAGCTGACACTGACACAATAAATTACAGCATCATATACAGCAATATACACAAGCAGCTAAATCAGTTTTTTTTGGCTATTTTTTCCACAACTTTCTAAATTGTAGATGCAGAAGGGTCTAATTGGGGACATGTCTTGGCTAGCGTGAGGAACCGGACAACATTTGAGCAACGTTCTATTTTCAAGGCCTCCAACCTACAAGCGATGGCCTCCAACCCAATAGCAGTGGCCTCCAACGTGGCCTCCAACCCAATAGCAGTGGCCTCCAACCTACTATTGAACAAAATTCTGGTGGAACTCATCAATGAGCTGCGTAAGCATTAGTGGAGAGCATAAGGCCCTGCGAAAGCTTGCGCAAGCGCCTCGTGCACAGTGCACACACCTGAATGTGCTGTAACATTCAAACCGGGAAAGCAAATTGCGCAAGCAACACAATTGTTCACCAAAAAGCATCGAACATTTCACCACGAAAGCGTTCAAGTAGGTGCACTAAAGAATCCACGTACCGCGATACACACCCTTTGCAGCGGAGAAAGCTCGCAGAAGTTCCCTCGAAGGTATTTTTTTCTGTACAGGCTCCAAACAGCACAAAGCAATGCTCACTTGCCAAAAGCTATTGGGTGCTCTTCGATGCTTTTCTAGCAACCATTCCCATATTGACACTCAGATTGATATTCGCTTCCGGAAGGCTTCCTATGCCAGCCGCTTACGGCATTTGCCCAACTCCAGCACACGTGAAACTCGTGTGTACCTGGTGGACTTGGCAGGAGACCTGTCAGTTGCAACATTTCAGATTGAAGCAAAAGGGATTTTGTCTTAAATTCACTGCATTTGCTGAAAGCCTAAAAGAACGGATTTCATGTTGTGGTCAGGCAGTGAGCGAGCTGGCATGCATGCGCTAGCACCTGAACAACTGAAAGAAGGAGAGCACATCAACCTAAGCAGGGCCTCTTAGAGTGCACCAAAGGCAACGATCATTCAATATGCCGGCCAGCAGCGAGTTGTTTACTGGACTGGACTGCACTGTCTTCTTTCTGGTGCAAGACTGACCGTTTCTCAGCATGAATTTGGTGTTCATTAGCAAGCTGGGTTTCAGAACCATGGCCTGACCCAGCAGCAGCTCCGTGTAGTGTGATCTCAGAATTTCCGATTGAGGCCTCTCAGCGTTGGGGCGAGCCAGCGCCTAAAGAAGCGGTGGCTGCAAAACCTCTTTTCAAGCACACAATCACCACCTGCAAGCTCCAAACTAATCCAATGTGAGGGATTGCATTGACAATGGAAACTGCTTGGAGAACCCTTAATGACTTCGTCACTTAATTATTCTATTTTTGATTGCTTCGCAATCCAAGTGCAGAATCAGGTAGTCGGTGCATTGGCAAGCGGCAAATGCGAGCATGTCCCGTGACGCTCCAAGCTGTATATAGTTACTTCTTGAACTACTTGACAGTGGCATACACTGATTGATTTTGTGTCCGGTCCTGATTTCTATTTCTTCCTACTTGTGAGCTGGGACCGGGAGCTGGGACCGGTCTGTAGCTCAGGTACCGAGACTCGGCGCTCACTTGGCTTCTGAAGGACTCCCGCACGTTTGTGGGACTACTTGATGGGAGCTGAATGAATCCAAACGGCTGGTGTACCAATGCTACAAGATGTTGTAGCATGTTGTAGCGATTGAGATCCTTTAAGACAAATGCTTTGAGCACAGATGGAGCTCAACAGAGGAGAGTTGCCTGCATCTTCAAGCAAGGGCCATCTTAAAAGCTTGCCTTGTCCTGTGTGACGCTGGCCAGCAACACTTTGCTCAGGATGCCATCACTGGCAGCAGCGCCCGCGTGTGCATGGTTGCAGCTGTACACCCTGCGCATCCTGTGGAGACAGACGCTCGTTTAAGCCTTCGGAACTTCACAGTGCAGATAAGTGCATTAAAGCCTTCGGGGTGTTTTTGTGTAACTTTGGCCACTTTGGCTTTCTTGTGTTCTCGTGCATCCCCAGCAAGCCAGAGCCTATGCGTCGATCCTGAGGCCTCCACCTTGCGTTATGCACGGCAGTACTCGGCGCTGCAGAGCACTACAGGATCGCATGCCTCTCAGCTCTCTTCTCAGGCGGGAAAAGGTGAAGGCTCAAACGAGACTTTGCTTGGCAACTCATGCCTTAGGGTCTGTTTGACTCAGGGCAGGCCTCTGTCTTTGAGACACTAAGTGCAACCCGGAGCTTCACACGCAATTGACCCGAAACTCACGAAGTTGCAAAGCTGTTGTGAGCCTTACGAAAGGCATTCGCCACTGCTCACTCGTCTCACTATGTCTCACTTGTGGCCACCAGGTTCGAGATTTGCAGCGGAAAGTGGATTCTTTACGCCATGCCTTCGAAAAGGCTCGATTTTGGGTTTCAGTCTTGTGGGCAATGCAAGGCACTACTTTACAGCCATATGCGGCAGTTGTGCCAGAGAGGTGTTCTAACATGATGCAATCCAAGACTTGAGCAGCGCCAAGAACTCCAATAATTATAGAGTTTTAGTAAGAGGATCCATCTAACTTTGTGGCGCGAAAGCTAAATAACAGCCTATTAAACCCCACACCTCGCAATTTCGTGAAAGACCCAAGACAGTATTGGCTGGGAAAGAGGTTTGCAAAAGGTCCCGGAGCAGGTTTCGGAGGACTATTGTTTTCAAACCTCTCAGTCATATTTAAACTTTTCAACAATATTTTCCCCTTTGAGGCGCTGATGGGTGATGGGCACAGCATCGCGCAACTTGGAAAAGAGGAAAGTCTTGCTGTAGCAACCTGGGCGACACACGGAAACAGAGGCTCTTATTCTTGAAGCAACAGGCCCAACAAAGTTCAGAAAGACGAAGAAGGAAGTTGCATGCTTCGACGTTGAAAACGCATCTTTTCTTTTCTTACAAAAAATGGTGTACAGTGTATATGAAAACCATTGAAATCTGAAAACAACGCTCGTTGAACGTCCAGAACCTACGGTGGTTTGATGGTACTATATGGTACGCTACCAATTTACATTTCATGTGTCACATCATGCTACCCACATGGAACAACAATTTGAACCTTTTGCCAGCCGCCCCGAGCTTCAAGTTTCAGAGTCACCCAAGGCAGCAACGTTGGACAAGGGCCATTCAATTCAAGCAAGTCCTGAGGTGGACACGCGAGTCCTTGCAGGGCTCTGTGCATTGTCAGCCAAAGGCGAATGCACGGTCGGGCCCTTGTTGGATGCTGTATTGGTATATATTGTATTCTTGTAAACGTTTTTATGAATTGGAACACTTGCCAGATGATATATCCAAGATATGTGTCTTTGATTGTTTTCGCAAAAGGCTTTTGCGGTATTGTTGGAAGCAAAGATCATTGCAGTGAGATGATGGATTCATAATTGCTTTGAAACGTCAGTTTATTGCACTTCACATCGTGGGGAACATATCCTGAATTCAAGTGGTTGGTGTAAAGAACGCACTCTTGCCAAAAGCTTTTGTAAGACATCTCACAGCTCGAGGCAATGGTTCGATTCTCATCCGACGCTCACTTGGACGCAAGCACATCAAAGCAAGGCGTGCATTTGCGGAGTGCCCTCCGCAAGCGGCTTACATTGGCACAAACTCAGTTCTGTTTTTACTATTGGGGTTCTCTCTTAGGAAAAAGAGAGCTGGCCACGCTGGCTGGCCGCGCCCCTGAACTCTGTGTCCGGGTCTTGTCCTCCTCTTGTCCTGCTCTTGTCCTCTGGCCGTGCTGGTCCTCCTCTTGTCCTTCTCTTGTCCTCCTCTTGTCCTCTTCTTGTCTCTTGTCCCCTCTGGCCGCGCTGGCGAACCCTGTGTCTTTCTCTGGTCCTCCTAGTGTCCGCCTCCTGCTTCTGGTGGCCACGTTTGCGAACCTCCTGCTGTCCTCGTGCCACGGTGGCAAACCCCGTGTCCTCCTTTTGTCCTTTGTCCAGGTCTGCCGCCAGTCCTGCTTGTCGTTGTGGGCCCCTTTCTTTATCATCGCCTTATCTGGGCCTTGTCCCCTGCTTGGCCACGCCGTTTTTCCTACCTCCACCGCCGTTTTCATGCGGCTATGAATGCAACAGTGACACAGCGATTGACATGTGATATCACCATCGGAGCTTCTCATTTCATATATATCCGGTATCCCATCGTTTTGCACATGTGACGCAGGCATCAGGAACTGGTGTTTTCAAACATATATTGTTTAGGTGCAATTCTCAAACAGCTGGAGGCTATAGAAAAGTATACTTGCATGCGCTTCCACCAACATTGGAATTTATGGAGTTGACGCCGACGCCCAAAAAATGCTGACGCTGTTTGGGGTCTATGCAGGTATACATATTATTGTCTATTGAGTGCTTTAAATGCAGGGTGCATGGTGATATACGCATAGATTACCGGGATGCTTTTAGAGTTGGAACCATGGCGGTTGCAAATATGTGTGTCTTTTTCAAGCTTGTTGATTGCAAGAAACACGTATATACTAGGTTATATGGGAGAATAACAAGCAAGTAAGGAACATCATTCTGCATGTCGTTCGAGCTTTGATCTTGCTCGAGAGAGTTGATTCCATGAGTGCCCCATACAGCTGGTTTGCTGCTGCGAGTGGAGTGCAGGATTGATTTAAGTTTCCCTAAGAATCTAGGAGCCAAATCATTAATGCGAACATGAACTATCTTGCGTCGAGTAGGTAGTAGCTTAAGTATTGCTAGTAGTTTACCGCCTTACTCAATTTAAGTATGTCACATGGCTCGGCAGGCGGCGGTCCGTGGCCAACGGCGCGACCGGAGCGGCATTGGTTGCGGCCTCGAAAGTGTGACAGCGAAAGCGGAGACTCTTTCGAGTGGGGAAACAGAGTGGACATGAAAACGGCGATGGCCAAACCAACCACCGAACTTGCCGACAGTAGGTACCAATTGTGACGGCAATTGCACGGCGAATTTACAGTCCATAAATTATTCCGCTTGGTAATCTTGAGTTGCTTCCTGGCTGAACAAACACAATCCTTTGTTGCAGACAAACTCTGAGAAGTCAGATAGTTCACTTCCTTTCCGAGCCAGCCTGCCCAGTTGTGTCACAGAGCTTGATCGTGCTTGCGAGATCGCAGTGGAAGGTAGCGGAACCCTTTGAGACTCCAGTGTCAATCACACCCATGGTATCTATCGCACTCTTGTGTGCTACACGAGTTTGGCAGTATGATCATCTCCCAGGCTACATCACCAAGATCGAAGATGCCGCTGAAGACTCATCAGGATCTCGGGTCTGCGAGGCATCTCTGGGCGGATGATTCAGAAGGAGTCGGATGATGCTTTTAGTCTTATATGTTCAATGAACATTAGGAACTCAGCTTTGATTTGTTCAGCCTTCTGGTTTGGACACCTGTTCCATGGTACTAGAAAGAACCAGAACACCTGCACAACAACTTGGATTGTTTTTTGGTGCATCAGTGACATCAAACAATCCCTGTGAAGATTGTGAAGGTGACTTTTGAAGGCCGCCACGGAAGGCAGGGAGAAGTCGGAATGCCCTCTTGGTGCTCATTGCTCCTGTGAGTTCTATGTCTAAGGGAGCAGACCAAAAAGCCTTATGCCGTATGCTTTCCAAGTGCACAATCCCAGCGCGCTATACTTTGCTTGCTTGCATTCTTTTTGATTGCAAGGCGATCCATCAATGACGATTGTAGATTTGCGTTGTAGGTTTCAGAAGATGGGTCACCAGGGTCTTCATTGCCGCGGTGAATAGACAAAAGTCATTACAGTAGTCATTTACGTGAGTCATCACGCTGTCAGGAAATGTGGTACGCGCGCACATGCCAGCAAAGAGACTCCCCCCACACCACACACACAAGCGAAGCTGCAGTCTCATCAAGCTGAGCGTTCAGTTGTGCTTCATGACCCTGATTTGCAGGCCTCCTGTTGTGCTTTGGTACCCCGAAGTGGCGCTGGTCTGCAGCCTTAGCAGTTGCCGGCTGGACTTAGTAAGCATTGCTAAATATTGCAAATAATTTAGCTAGGAAGGTGAAGTAGTGATGCTCCGTAAGTTCAGATGAACATTCTCCACAGGCCAATGGAAGCAGCTTCGGACAGCTCTTATCGCTTTTGAATCAATCAAGATGCCCCCAGCATATGCAACTGCAACTGCAACAACAGCAGAACGGCAGCAACAGCAGTGGCAGCGGCAGCGGCAGCAAAAGCAGCAGCAGGAGCAGCAGCAACAGCAACAGCCACAGGGCAGAACAAAAGTACATTCATCATTCCGTTTGCCTTCCTTACTTCTCAGACTGCTGCAGACCTGTTTCCTAGGAGATGGTTAAGCCACCGTCAACGCTGCTTGAGGCCATTTGAGTCAAGATGGTTCCAGCACAAAGGGTCGAGTTCAATTGCTGACAATGTTCGCCCAAAGGGAGAGGTCCCCCCAAATGCTAAAGATTCACACAGGCCATGCAGAAGTTGGATGCCGCAGAGACTGAGCTGATGAGGCTCAGGGGTGACTTGCAGGCAGGGCTTGCGGCATGGATGGCCCAATCAAGACCATAGGTTTGCGCATGGCATACATACCATGACATACCATTGCGCAATTGTTCCATGGCGCTGGCATCGACGTTGTGCATCGTTGCTGGCATTTGGCGCCCATTAGCTACATGAGGAGTTTCGAAAGATATTTTTCTTTGGTTTGACCATGTTGGACCTCAATTTGAAAAGTCAATTTGATTTGAACCCCTTTAGACTTTCAAGGTGGTTCGTTGCGTGCGGAGTGGATCCATAGCACTGCACATCGATCTTGCATCTCTTTCGCTACCGACACAGGCAGCTCGGAAAGATGAGGCCATGCGACAGCAGGACGGGAAAGGACATGTTGCTGATAGTAGCTGAGAATTAATTAAAGGATATCCAAGGATTATCAAAGTGCAAACGGCCAGCATCTCCAACTATGAACACATGTGACAGAAGAGCTTCATTCGCTAGTGCCGCTAGTGCTCGTCATTCATGGCTTCTGTAAGGAGTGGATGGCGACTGCGCAAATTGGGAAGCTCCCAAGGCTTCCCCGTGACGGTCTTGAGACCGACGGAACGCCCAAAGAAAAAGCAGAGCGCGTTGCTGCGTCGCTGGACGTAATGAAAGAACCATGGACACTGATATGGCATTGAAATGCATTGCATGCACTTTCAACAAAAGACAAGTGTACAGCTCAGATCCAAAAACGATCGAAACGTAGCATTGATCACAGTTTTGGGCCCATGCACCATCCATTGGACCATCATTAGTCATTTAATTTGACCAAAGAAACACTGATTCTTTCTGTAGCCAATGTTAGCTACATGGGCTAGTGGGGAAGGGCAGGAATTGGTGATCCCTGAACTTCGACAATGTGAGGTGCAATTCAGCTTCCTGCCTATGTTGGACGATGTCTCTCGTTGTCCAATGTATAATGTATGCTGCTCTGCACTTTCAGTGTCCTTTGTGCAGGCTCACATGAAGCTAGAACAGGTCTTTGTGTTTACCGTTTCAACATGTTTCAACCCTTCCTATCTCCGCGTTTGACTATCGCACACCTTCAAACTGTTGGATGGGAACCGCACGATCCGAGCAGTGATGCATTGAACTGTTTGAAATGAGTTTGAACTGCAAATCAATTGTTTTTGTCTTGCTCTGGATGTCTGGACTTCACGCACTTCAACCGTCTAGACCTGCTTTTAGCACGCCTTTTGATGACATCCAGCATGGAGTCGAGATGACACATGCACTCTTTTTTGAAACCTTCTCTACATGTGCAGCGTCAGATGCTTCAAAGGAGTCGCGAGGCTTCAAGGGGGTTCAGTAGAGAAACATGCAGGTGCAGGCCAACAAAAAGAGCTTGTCAACGGAAACCCTCCATTGATGCCCGCCACATGCTTGCTCTCTGATGCGAGCCACTCATTAAGCCCCACCACCGTTACCACCATTCCTTTCAGCTGCCCGCATCCTTCAAGAACGGCCTGTATACAGGCTACTGTTTGCACCAACCAAGGAAAGGGCGAGAGTCCGTAAACTGGATAATCCAATTCAATGATACCTCCTAAGGTCATCAATCTGCAAGGTTCGGTTACGCATTACATGCTGGGACCCAATATGTTTCTGCAGCCAATCATTCTGACAGCAACTTTCTCTGAGATGTGCTCCAAGGGAGCGGTTGCAGTCCTCTGGCAGTATCCACCTTTTGTGACTTGCAAACCACCCAGCAACAATTGAATCTTGAGCATGTGTGCGCTGAACAGTGGAACTCAAAGGAGACACCAGGAAACGTCAATTGGCTTCACTGCCTGGGTGTGTGGGCATTTGGCAGTCTTGATCTGTGTAGAAAGGCTGACTTCGTTGCCTTTGGCCTTCCCTGTGCTTGTGGATTGTGTGCTTTGTAGTTGTTGGGCTCCAGTCTGCTTTAACAAGTCCCAAGCATGCAACGTCCTTTAGCCTTTGCTACTTGGGAACATGTGATTGTCAAAAAGACAGAAGACTGGCTTGATCCATCATATCGGTACTGTAATTCCATAATAACCTTGGGAAGCGTATACTTAGTCACAGAGGGGACACGTTGCAATCATTCTTGGAATGCATGCGGTTTTGCATGTGTCTAGAGTTTTTGACAAGTAGTTCCATTTTGTATCGACACTGGCTCAGCGCTTTTTTTGGAGCCACTCAAGCGAAGCAACAGTTCATCGAAATAGCATTTGACGATTGTGTGATAGCATCTATATAAATAGAGACCCTGTGAGCTATGGCTACTTTAAATCACCTGCAGCTGGCGAACTCGGTTGAAGAAGCTCTCCGAGGAGAGGGAAGGCGCCAAAAGGGCATTCATTTTGGGAGGGTTTGGTTGGGGCATTTCAGGGGAAATGTCCGGTTCAACCAGTTGACCTGTCAATTTTTGCCTTGGATGCGTTGAGTGCCAGGCCCCGAGAGAACCATGGCCGCGGAGATGTGCCCTTCTGGGCGAGGCGGCGTAGCTACCATGGACCAGATGGACAAGACACGATCAATAGAATTTCAATGCCAGGAGCTCTCCAACCTACTAGCGATGGCCTCCAATAAGTATTATATACTGCACTTTAATATACTTAAAAGTTTGTAGAACTTTCAACGGATATAGTCAGCCTTGACCTTGAAGAGACCTTGCAGCATTCAGGCGGCAGCGAGAAATGGTGAATTGGATGCTCAACTCCTTCGTAGGCCTCATCGGTGTTGGGGCCTCAAATGGCCTCAAACTGAGTGTGATTTGATGGGCATCACTACTAGCAACAAGGGCATCGCTACTAGTAACAAGGGCATTACTACTAGTAGCTAGAAGCTACTGTAACCAGGGCATTACCCTAGCAGGTTTGCTCCTGTGTCAAGACCTGCCGCTTCGCTATATCCAGCTCAAACCCAGCTGCAAATTGAGCGAATCATTAGTAAGGCACCTTGTACCACTAGTAGCTTCTTGTTACTAGTAGTGTGCAGACACTTCCTTGCGTTGTAAGTATCCAATATTGTTCACTTTGAGATTTGACCGAGCCAAGGCCCGCATGGGTGTGGCCATGATGAAGGCCGTGCCCTTGGTGTCTTTGTTGGTGGTGCTGCGACGCACCTGGCGCTTGAACCAGATCATGATGAGGAATAGGAGGCAGGAGATGCCGAATCTTCGCAAGTGAACAAGAGGGTGAACAGAAAGAACAATTCGAAGTGCCCTCAAGAACTTTGTGATTTCTTGGGGCTTCCTTATATTTTTTAAATAGAGAATCTGAAGCTGACTCCAGCACTTGGTGAGAGAGCAGAGTGCGATCAAGCCCTTGTTTTCCCTCTGGCGGTTTGCTGTTGGAGTGTTGCAAGACCCGGTAGAACCTGCAAGAGAGTATCAACGGAATATGACCTGGGATCAGACAGGATCAGATGCAGAAAGTGCAACAGAGGTCAGTCAGTCCTTTTGTGCAACACATTTTTCTTACACTACACTGTAGCTGTTGCAGTCTTGCCCTGATTGGAAGGATTTCTTGCTGGCTGAATCTTCATATTCCCTACAGTTGAGGTGTAGGAACGCATGCCCAATGGGTGATGGTCATGTCAAAGATCTCCTCGACACCCTCTGAAACCGAGAGCACTCTTGGTGCTGAGCCCGTGAGCGCAGGTCAAAGGTTTGGATCTTGATTCGGTCTGCCTTTGAGATGTGGACCCTGATCGAATTGATTTTTTGGATCTACTTCAGGTGCCGGATGGTGCAGCATGAGCGTTGCTTCCATAAATTGTGCAGAGAATCTTAGAAGACAGGGCGCATCTAAGATCTACCCGATCTTGCAACAGCTAGCAGCTAGGAAAGACATAGAAGGACAATTGAAGATGAATTCGCCAGCATTGGATGGCACAGATCCTGGTGTAATTTCCTGCTAGGTGCAAGAAGTGGAGCTTAGAGGCTCGCCGCGCATATCAGCCTCGTGTCCTGTGGAAGGCTCGTGGCGAGAGGCCTGCCCAAAGTGCAATGAAGTGGCAAAGGGTTGGTTGAAGAAGACAAGATGTTCAGTTCTCATGCGCCACAAGAACCCTGAGATGCTGCAGATAGTGGAATCAGTACAATTTTGGCTGTCCAGATTGCCCAAGGAATCTTAAGGCACCACAGCATCCCTGCTGCATCCACCTGGAGCCACTGAGCTCGTTGGTGCAAGGGCTAGCATCAAAGATGCACGTTCGTAGTAGTAAGAATGCTACTAGTAGTAATGCCCTTTGTTACTAGTAGCGATGCCCTTGCTCCTAGTAGCTTCTTGTTACTAGGGTTCGCAGGAAGTGGAAGTTGTTTTTGAGCATCCAAGGCTAGCAGCAGTTGGTGACTTTTTGGTGTCAGGGGGAGGGCCTCTATCCAAAGTAAACGACCTGTTTGTTGATGTAGCTTCCGAAGGGTAGCAAACAAAGCTTGCATTCTCCGTTGATGCAAACTCTGTGCAGGGAGCGGCTGTTGACAAACTTCCTGACCACGATTGCTGGGACCCTAGCCATTGGAATCTATAGAATCGTGATGAATCGTGATGATCATCCAGGGTACTGGTATTCTTGCTCTCCAAGAGTGTCTTGTCGTCTTGTCAACGTGCACAAATTAGTAAATTGCAGAATGCATCGTAGATCATTTGTGGGCATGGAGCTAGGCTCCACCTTCCAGGCAGAATCATGCACCAAGCCACAATCAAAGCCAGTTGACTTGACCTCGACTCAGACTTACACTTGAGCATCAAACCCATCAAACCCGATGCCATACAATGTGCTTTCTGTCCGGAAACGTGGCCAGCATCTTCTGCGCAACATGAACCATTTATATAGATTGCATGGACACCGGAACCGGGATGTTTTCGGCGACCTGTCCACACTTTACCAACAACCTCTCGATGGGATCCATGGCATATTGAGTGCGGGAACAAATGGACTGGGACTAGTTGCTCCGGAAGCAGTTCGCAGTGGAGATGTTTGGGAACTCTGGCGCAGCTGTGTGAGGAGCGGATCCATGTTGGCCAAGGCTATGCCCCGTTGAGAGTTCCTTGGACAAAAGCAATTGTAAAGTCGCAGTTTGTTCTAGCCTTTGCCATTAAAGCAAGCGGCCGGGAAAAATATGAAAACATGATAGAACATGATAGAACTGCCATCAACTGCCATGTGCAGTCGGACGAATACATGCTCAATCATGTTCATATTCGTGAAGCGGTTTCATTGTGCTAGTGTCAGGTAAGTTGATACAATATGCTGCCCTGCAAGTTGTCAGTCGTAATCACACAACAACTGCAAGCTTTGCAGTCGCCATCCAGCTGGCCCAGCATGCTTTTGTTGTCTAAGGAACCAAAAGCCGGAGTGAAGAAGAAGGAGGCAGCACAAGTACAGCTTTGGAAATCACTCATGACCATGTCATGACAGAATTTTGCTGCCCCTGCTTGTAGGCTCGAGGGTAGGAGGATTTTAGGCTTCAGGAGGGGGATGGAAGGGGCAGTGTATGCCCCCGATCCCGAAGAGAGCGCGCTGCTCTTGAACCTCCTATCTGAGATAGGATTGGTAGGTCCTAGGCTAGCAGTCAGCCATGGAAGCGAATCCGTGCTTGCAAGGCAGCTGGTCGACAGATTGGGCCTGGAACTGAAGTCATGGCATGTTACCTTCATAATTGGCCAGGTGCGCGAGGCCGTCCAGATGACGGATTTGGATGAGCGTGTTGTGGGCACTTCATCCACGAGATCAATGCAAAACATCTTGGACGCTCGAGCAGCAATGGCCAAGGAGAAGGCAGGGACCCTCGAGCCAGGTGACACTACGGTTGTGCTCCCGCTAGTGCCGAAGCGGGGCACGTTGGGGAGGACAGTGCGGTTGAAAAGTGGCCGCATTGCAGCAGAGGATGAAGTCACAGACAAGATCCTGCAGAAGCTTGTTGATGAGATGGTGATCTTCAAGGCACCCGTCTTGGAGGACATAAAGAAGTCCATGAATCCTACAAGGGCCAAGGAGGCATTGCTGGGGAAGTATCGCATCTCAACGGTCCGACGGTATTTGGCTTCATGGCAGAAGTTCAGAGAGTGGGTGGAAGCCTTGGGGAAACCTGGACAGAGGCCAAACAGTGTGGCATTGGTCGACTACATGTATGCCCGGGAGGAGGAAGGCATGTGGCCCTCAATCCCCATCGCGGTGAGCACTGCGGTGTCCTGGTTTGAGCGCACGGCCGGGATTCCTGATGATGAGCAGCTCATGGGCCAGCAGTTCCCGCAGATGGTTATGAAGGAGTTGACGAGGAAGCTGGAGCAGACTGCACCACCGGTCCGTCGGGCGCCTCGGTGGTTGGGGTGCTTCATAGCGCCTATGGAAACTCTGGTTGTGGACAAAGCTGTCCCATTTGAGGTCAGGGTTTGCGCCTGGTTCAAGCTGATCAAGCTTTGGGCGTCGATGAGGTTTGACGACGCTGCCCATTTGAAGACCTCCGAGCTCCGCTTCTATGACGGCCAGTTGATTGGTATGATGCACCAGTCCAAGACTTCAGGCGCCGGGAAGAGAGTGCGTGAGCTTCCGATCTTCATCGCAAAGGAGGCATATGCGCTGCACGAGGATTGGCTGGCGGTGGGATTTGAGTTGGTGAAGCTCCAGATGCCCAGAGACAGGGTCTATGTGTTCCCGGAGGGGTGCTTCTATGGGTCGAGATACGGGGCGTCGCACGTCACGTACGCGGAGGCCTCAGCAGGGAGCGCAAGAGCTCTGGCGATGTTGGAGGGCTACAATGGCCGCTTGATCCCGGATGGCTGGGAGAGGTTCTGGTCAGAGCACAGCGAGCGGGCGACCTTGCCCAGCGGACTTGCAGCTCTGGGCGTGGAGAAGTCCGATAGGGACTTGCTGGGGAGATGGTGCCCAGAGGGTTCGGACGTCTACGTGCGGACCTACAATGCCATCGTGAGAAAGATGCAGAATAAGATGGTAAAAGTCCTCAGAGGAGCAAACGTGTATGGAGAACTTGATGAAGGGGCCGTGATGGAGGAGCTCAAGGTCTGGCTGCATGAAAAATGGACCGTGCAAGAGGATTTGGCCGAGCAGGTCGTGGAAGCATGGAAGGACAGGCTGGGCGTCAAGGGAATGCCAAGGGCTACAGTCCAGATCTCGGATGATGACACCACGATCTATGATGGGTCGCAGAGCGAGAAGGATGACGGTGAGAAGAGCACTAGGGACCCAAAGAAGAGAAAGGCGAGTGAACCTCTTGAAGAAGAGAGGGATGGCAATTTCGTGGTGGTGTACAGGCGTGCCGGCAGGGGCACATTGCACCGGCTGGGCGACAAGGGCTGCTGGATGGCAAAGAGAAGGTTCTTTGTGAGATCAGAGGTCCACAAAGAGTTGCCGCAGCCTGAGGAGTACACGCTTCGATGCAAGCTGTGTTGGAGCGGAGGAAATGGACAGCTCAGTGAATCCACCAGTGATTCCAGGGACGAGCTGAGTCTCAGCGACTGAAAAGGGTTGCAAGGGCGCAGACACATGTTATTTGTGCAGGGTTTCTCCCCGTTGGGTCGCACCCAGGGGGGAGCGGTGGGGTGTGCAGCCACGCTCGTGCAGGATCCAAGTAGCACTTGGCAAGAACCACTGGTAGGATAGGGGAGCACCCCAAGCCGAGCGAGCCGCTCAGGCAGGAGATCAATGCGCAGCATGCGCAAGGGAAAATCCAGTGGAGGAGAAGGCGGGGTCGCACCTCAGAGATTAGTCTTTGATCACATAGCATGTGAGAGAGACAGTGCATCGCATGCACGCGGAGTGACATGGATGTTTTGAAGGCATAGCATGCTTTACCGTTGGTTGGTTCAACCAGGAGGGGCGGCGCGTTAGGCTGGCGCCGTCATGCCACGGGCGGTTCTGACCGAGGATGAGGGCAAGAAGGCCCTGGAAGTTGCGGGTACAGATATCAAGTACCTGCTGTCACGACATGAGGTGAGCATTGAGAACCAGAAGCTGTTCTTCCACCATGGAGTGACGACGCTTGAGAAGCTTTCAAATTTCGCCAAGGACCGGGACGACCTGGCGGCAGTCCTCAAGGACCACTGGGAGTTGGACTCGAGTAGATCCTTGGATGAGAGGGTGCAGGTGGCAGCGATCACGTGCGCCTTCAGCAACGCAAAGACGAGGAGTCAAAGAGCCGCAGAGGTAGACGCCGAGTACGACACCTTGCAGTGGTCGAGGCCGGTAGTGGCCGGAGAATGGGCGGCCATGCGGTCAGCATTGGAGAGGCGCTACGGGCACGTGGAAGACAAGATCTATCCTTCCAAGGAGTACATCGAGAAGAAGTTGGCAGAGGTTGAAAGCGGTGAATACCGTGCCGAAGAGCTGACTGAAGTCGTGTCGAAGGAGGAAATCGAGCCTGATGCTGTGGTGCCTATTTGGGACTCCAAGGGCCGCCTGGCCATGCGTAAGGCCTCAACAAAAGTCCCGGAACCGGAGAACGCGGAAGAACTCCGCAGGCGATTGACGATCTGGAAGAATGCCATGGTCATGATTTCGATGAAGCATTCCAATCGCCATGAACTCCAAGGGGCATGGGAGGACGCAGTTGAGCAATACAAGGACTACTTGTTGGGCGATTACGTGTATGGCCTCAGTGCAAAAGACGCTGAAGGGCAGACTTTTGCCTCACCACCATGGAAGCTGGTCATTGCCTATGAACGGGCGATTCGGAAGCAGGCAGTGAAGCTCACGAACACGGAGGGCAAGCCGTTGACGGTGGCCTTGAAGACAGCGTGGAAAGATGCAACCGTCAAGGAAAGGAACTTCACTACACCATTGGCATTGTACGCGAAGAGGCCACCACCGCCGTGGAGGGAGCAGCCAGCGGCCAAGTGGAGGACCCCTGAGAAAGGGGAGAAGGGCAAGGAGAAGGGCAAGAGCAAGAAGGGGAAAGGCAAGGGGAGCAACCCCCACTGCGCCACACACACCCCGGACGGCGAATTGATCTGCTTCCGCTACAACACCCCGGGGGAGAAGTGCAAGGTGGCCAAATGCAAATACCGCCATGTGTGCGGAATATGCTTTAGCGAGAAGCACCCCCTCTACGAATGCAATCCGAAGAGCAGAAAGGAGCCAGCTGCCCCGGATACGACGGGGACGAAGTGAAGGACCTTGAGGGTCCTATACGTGTTTTCTGGGAGGCGGAGGCGGAACTCAGTCGCAGGATTCCTCAGAAGACTTGCACCACGAAGGGACATCCAGGTGGAGATCACCGAGTTGGACGTTCAAGCAGATAGAAGGGCAGATTTCACTTTGCCAGCTGTACAGAAACGGTGGTTGCAGATCATTGCTCAAGGCATTTTCTTTGCAATCATTGTCACACCACCCTGTTCAACCTTCTCGAGAGCAGTGTGGGCGAATGATCACGGGCCTTTCCCGGTGAGGAGCTCAAGCTATCCGAGGGGGTTCCCTTGGAATAGGGGGGAGCGTTTCCACAAAGCTGAATTCGGGACGATCCTGGCTGATTTTTCATTTGAAGCTTTGAGACGTCAATTTGCACGCAAACGCAGTGTGGGCATCATGGAGCAACCAGAAGACCTCGGCAGGACCTCGTATGAACGCATGCCCGGACATCGGCCTGCATCAATGTGGCAGTTCTGGCAATTTTGGGAGCTGCTGGAGGTTGAAGGAGTGCAGACAGTGGTCTTTGCACAGAGTCAGTTTGGCACAGATTCGCCAAAGCCTACGAGGTTTTTGATGCGCATTCATGCATCACTTCATCAAGCAATGCATCCAGGTCCACCTCAATTCGATGATGATGGTTGGTATGTTGGTCCCTTGCCGCGGACATCAGGGGGCGCCCCTCTGATCGGCAAGAAGGACGGAGTTTTCAAGACCGCAAACTCTGCTGCCTGGCCTCCAGCATTGTGCAAATGGACAGCAGAGGCTATTCTCACCTCCTTTCAGCAAGAGTGTAGAGGGGGGGTGAGGAGTCATTGGAGGAGGTTCTTGGTGGGAAATCTTCGAAGAAGAGGAAGGTGGAGGAGAGATCATTTGGCCAAGAGAAGCGCAAGAGAAGCGAGATGTGCGTGAAGGATGAGGTGAAAGTGGACCCTATGAGTCCGTTGGTCCCGGGAGGACAAGGTGCTCCAAGGGCATGCCGTTGGAAGGGTTTGGAAGCTCCCTTTCATGATGGTGGAGGTTTGGCTTCCCCCGGGAGATGGCCGCCTGAGAGGAGGAAGAAGCTCGAAGAGGAGGTATGGGTGGCCGTGAGGCATCAGTTGCGGCTGGAGGCGGTACGCTCCCTCGGGAGTGTTGCGGAGGTGGAGAGAGAAGCGTTCAGAATGACAAGAGGGGGCGAAGCTTTCAGTCTGGTCAGGGACGCTGCATTCCTTCGGAGAATCAGGGAGGTTTTGTCGGAGAAGCTTGGGATCATGGACCAGGCAGAGCCGGAAGAGGGGCAGCCATTCTTTCTGGGCCTCATGAAGGAAGTATTGAGGAAGGCTGGTGATCCGGATTGGGCCTTCCTGGAGCAAGCGAAGACGGGGTTTCCACTTGGAGTGCTCAACGAACTGCCACGGACACCGGAGGTGTTTGAGGAGCAGCTACGTTGGAACCTGGAGAGTGATGGCTGGGGTGAGGCTGCTTTGCAAAAGAGCAATTACGCCTCGGCTGAGGAGCATGAGAAGTATCTGGTGGAGCACTTGGAGCAGGAGGTGTCGGAAGGCCTCATGGTCAAGATGGAGGAGGATGCTTTTGTGGAGAAGTTTGGGGACAACAGAGCAGTAGCAGCATTGGCAGTTCTCGTGGAGGATGAGATCACGGGCAAGAAGCGTGTCATCCATGATGGCACGCATGGTGTGAGGGTGAACCATCGGATCAAGTGCAGAGACAAGGTCCGTATGCCTGGTCCTAGGGAGAAGAGAGCCTTGTTGGAAGAGTATGAGGCCGAGCATCATGCAGTGCTCTCGCTGGTGGGCGATTTTGCGAAGGCTCATCGCCGTTTCAAGTATGCTGAGGAGGAGCAGGGCTTCCTTGGATGCAAGTCTTCCACTCAGTCGAGCACGGTTTACGTGAACCAAGTGGGCACCTTTGGGGTTGCATCGACTCCGTATTGGTGGGCAAGGTTGAGTGCAGCCCTGATGCGGCTGGTACACTGGGTCTTGGGGGATGCTTTTCCCAATGACATGCTTCTGTACGCCGATGACCTTGAGGTGCTGGCCATTTGCGTTTGGGGCCCCATTCAAGTGGTCAAAACAGAGGGGTGGCCTCATCACAGAGTGGATTGGTCTGACGACAGACTATCAGACCTATTCGATGGGGCTCTCAGTGAAGAGGACAGAATGGGTGATCGGCTGGATACAGTCATTGAGGGAGCGCAAGGAGGTGTCCTACAGAGAGTTTGCGGCGGGGCTAGGCAGGCTTGGCTTCTCTGCTCTGGCACTCCCCTGGGAGAAACCGCTCCTTGGGCCTTTGTATGCATGGTCGTCGGCAATCCAATCGAACAAGGGTGAGATGACCATTCCCTGGGCAGTTCTGTTCATTTTGGGCTGGATAGCACAGAGGCTCAAGACCGGGGGCCGCATGGAGGTCGTGAGGCGGCCCCAGGGCTCCGCCTCGCGCATGGTGAGGATCTGGACGGACGCCAAAGCAACAGAACAGGCTGCTTGGATAGGGGGTTGGCTTGAAGAGAGCTCCAACAGCAGGGATTGCAGGTGGTTTTCATTGAAGGTGACGGAGATCAGTGCGCCCTGGCTATACTGTAGGCAGAAGAATCCCAAAAGAGTGATTGCAGCACTGGAGCTCCTGGCCACGTTGGTGGCCTTGAAGCTGTGGCTTGTTGAGGCAGGGGCATCAGCAGAGGTATGTGCAGAAGCCTTTACAGACAACAAGGGCAACGCATTCATCATTCGCAAGGGCCTTTCAACGAAGTACCCAGTGACGATTTTGGTCATTGAGATTGCGGAGACGCTCAGGAGGACGGACACCTTTGCAACCTTGACGTGGGTGAGGAGAGATGGAAACACATTGGCAGACGCTCTGACCAATGAAGATTTCAGTTCCTTCGAGAGCCAGAAGAGAGAGCAAGTCGAAGAGAGCAAGCTGAAGTGGTACGTCATGGACGAGCTCCTCAGGGGCAGTGAGACGTTGTTCAATGAGATCAAGGAACACAAGAATAGAAAGAAAGTTGAGAAGGCCAATGGAAATCAGACCAGGAAGAAGGTCAGAAAATTCTTTGGCCGTTGGAAGTCCTGACTGATGTTGGGACAATCTGCTCCAGAGAAGCTCTCTGGGGCAGACGGCAGGAGGAT